ACTTCTATCCAACTCCGGTCCTTTCTAGTATCACAATTTTGATATTAAAAATGCAAACTATTTGTATAATATAACTAATAAAGTACACATAGAAATCGTAGAGAGAAGCTGTGGCTGCTCCTTATCTCACTGAGTTCACCTTTTAACTGCCCACATTCCTATACTCACCTCCCAGTGCTGGAATTATGGCCATGTGCCACAGTGCTTCCCAAACAATGGTTCCGCTCCCTTTTTATGCATATTTTGTTTATCAAGTATTTAGATTTCTGTACTATAGAAAGGACAACTGTTTCTCTTGCCTTGACGGTCAGAAGCCTTAAGAAAAATTTTGTGATATCAGATCTACAAAGTGATAGTACAGGTAGTGAAGGGTATGATCCTAGGACATTTTATCCACTCCCTTCCAAGCCTTTCCTCGTGCTCATGTGCCTCTGTCAGAAGTACCACAAACTACAGATACCACACAAGGATTCTAAGTTAAAACAGGAAAGCAGTTACATCATTTCACTAAGCTGCCATCAAAGACATCGTAAGTTTCAAAGTACCAAAACCTAAGTTAAGCCGCTGTATGCACTCGATCTTAACAAGATGAAATTCAAAGTCCATCTGGAGACACAAATCTAGGCAAGATTAGGGTTGCTAAGCATTTCAATTTTGTGTGAAAATTATGTTAAAGTCTAAATTCCAACCTAATCCGATAAGTGGAAAGCAGGCCCTTGAAATCCACTTCCCCAAGCACGGTACTTTCCTGATCCTCAATCTTCATGCTGCTGACATTTTAAGAATGAAAAATTGGCCAGAATACCAGAATAGAGTAAAATCAAACTCCAGTTCTCCCCTTCTCTCATTGACCCAGCTATAATATCCCCTCCACAATGGAAAATTAGTCTATTGCAAGTGTCACACCCTCCCGAATGTTTCCTGTTCTACCACTAAATACACCATACAAGTCACGATGTGTGAACTTCTAAAGCCATGACTTACAACACAGCCAGCAGCAGCAATAGCATTTGTTTCTACAAATAAAAAGAAGAAAAATAGACAGGAAGAGAAGTCAGGATGGGAATATATATCTAAATTATATATTGTTCAATTATCATTGTTATCATAAAGTCATTTTACTTCTACTAAGAACAGAGGGAATAAAGACATGCTCAGAAGTTTGGAATACTTGCTGCTCTTACTGAGGTTGGAAGTTGAGTTCCAAGTACCCACATGGCGGCTCACAATCAGGAACTCAAGATCTAAAGGAGCTGACACACTCCCCTGGCCTCTACAGTCACTGAGCATATACCAATATGTCATACACTCATATGCATAAAATACAAATAAATATTTTTTAAAATACCGCACAGAAGTCAGGCCTTATTATTAGAAAAACCTCAAAATATAGTATTTAAAGAAATCGCAATGATTTCTTCAATGGGTCACCCTAGACCTCAGTGATTCTTCCACCACTGTCCATCACAGAAACATGAGAAATCTGAATTTCAAGAATCCTCAGGAATTCAGAAGTATCACATCAATGTAGAAAGTTCATAACCAATTACCTAATCCAACCTTTACCTTCTGCAACAAAGGTTTCCAGGGCCCTAAACTATGAAGTTGTGTTATGGGCTGAACTATGCCCTTCCCCATCAAAAACATTTTGTATGCTGAAGCCCAAACCTCAGTTCCTTAGTGTATAGCTGGCTTTGTTATGAAGAGAAGTAGTTAAAATGAGGTCATTGGGTTCTAACTCAGTATGAGCAGTGTCCTTATAGAAAGAAGATATAAGGACACTGTATGAGTCCACTGTATAAGGACAGGCACAGAATAACCCAGAGACAAAGAGACAAGATAACCCGTCTATGAGCCAAGAAGGAATCCCTGTACAGATCCTCTCTCACAGTTGTATGAAAGGAAGTCGTGGTACCTTGGCATTGCACTCCCAGACTGCAACACTGTAAGGCACTAACAATCATACACCATCTGATTGGGCGATACATCATCTGAGGTACTGTGTTCTAGAGGCCTGGCACCCTGCTAAGGTGGTTTTATGTTGTTGAAGTTAAAACCCAGAATCCTAGATCCCAAACCCACTCTCTATAGACTGTCTTAGCTAGCAGTCAACCTCTGGTTTGCACGGAAACTTACTGGCCTCAAAGACATTGATCTTGCCTCTTACATTTGCTCTTTCCCTTTCTTTGGCCTCTAGTGCCATCCTCCTGGACCTCAGGAGTTCTGGCCATGCATTTTACACTGTCCATCTTCCAGAATATTGAGCCAAATACATCTCTGTTCTAAATTGAACACAATAAAACTGAAAATCTTATGATTTTAGGTGTCTTGCTGAAATATGCTGTTTATATTCAACTGCTGTGAGCTCCATTCCCAAATCATTGGGTATTTTGAAGTAGATATCTCATGAACTCAGAACTCAAAATGCTCAAACAAAACACTCCTATGGAGCAAACCCCACTGACTGTCACATGATCAGCTACTAATTGAAACCACCTTATAAAATCATCCCCACCCTCTACTCTGGGCAAAGGCACTTAGTGTCTATGTCTGCTCATTTTCTGTATTTGTCTAGACAGTAACTTCCCCATCCAGTCATCAGCTTATCATCTTATTTCTACCTGGATGTCCAGCTGATATCTTAGCACACTTCACTAGTGGAGAACCTTCGTGAAGATTCACAATGCTTCGGAAATGATCGGGCATCTCTACAGCATGGCATGTTGTTCTTTGACTTATTATTTCAATCTTCTGTCTGCCGCCTGGATGACAGATTCCTCATGAGCACCATCTGTATCGAACACTCCATCTTATTTACTGACTCTAGCTTAATGATGTTCTGCAAGTCATTGTGTAAGCTGTTGCAGGGACGGTGTCAGACAAGGTCACTAACTTCATTAAAACTCTACATATGAACAGAGTCAGGAAAGGGGGGAATATGTCACATTCCAGTAAGAACCGTAATGGACATGATCAGCGTTATTGGCATGGAGAGCTGCAGAAAGACAGGTGAGAAAAGAGTTAACTGCTATTTTACACAGGATGGCCAAAGGAAATTTCTTTGAGAAAAGAACATTTGAGTTTATAGCTAGTATGTAGAAGCAGCCAATGAAAAGCATTTAAGACAGTGTCAGAGTGCATGTGAGGCCCCTGAGACGAGACACTGTGGAACAATGCAGAAGGAGCCAGCAACCTTGGTCCAGGTTTTTAAATGAAGCATTGATAAAGCATGGCTTGCACTTTCATATTATGATAGTTTCAAAGTAGAAAAGAGACAATAAGAATGGCAAAGGAGTAGAGAATATAATGTAAGAGTCACTGCAAGAATCCAAGGAAGAGCAGACGATGGCTGGGCTGCAGTGAGGAGACGTGAATCAAGTGTAGGCAGAGGTGAGGCACCTTTTAGAGGTGTACCCAACAGAACTACCTTTGGCTAATTTGGGCAGGCAACATTGGGCATTACCATTGCTCATGTAAAGAGATGCATGGGCTGTGACAGACCAGAATTAAATTTGGATTTTAGACAATTTGTCATACCAGCTGTACTTAGTTGTGATATCTTATTCTTCTTAGAGATTGTTGAATTCAAGGTGAAATCTGAAGAAGGTGGATGGATGCATGAAACGGACATGTAGACATGGTCTCAGCTAAACAAGCACATGTAGAGAAGTCAACAGCTTCTAGCTGCTATTTGAACTTAGGAAATGAATGCAATGACTCAGAAGTGAGCAAAGAAGGCTTTTTTCTCTCCTTAGACTGACCAAGCTCAAAGGTCAGCACAAGATAAAGAGAAAAGCAAACCTGCCTGGAGTTTCTGGTGTTGCAGAAAAGATTCTCTCAATCATGTGCAATCTGCTAAAAGGTTAGACAAAGGAACCCAGAGAAGTACATGTTTGGTTTAGAATAAAGAGTCAATGGATAAACTTCTAAGAAGCTTCACCTAAACGGTAATACAGAAAGTCAAATGGAAAGAAAGAATGGGATTAGAAAGTGGGAATAAATAGCTCAGTAAAAGTGTCCTGGCTAGTTCTATGACAACCTGACACGTGCTAGAGTCATTTTGGAAGAGGGACACTCAATTGAGAAAATGCCCCTACCAGACTGGCCTATGGTAAATCCCGCGGTACATTTTCTTGATTAATGACTGAACGTGGGAGAGCCTAGCCCATTGGAGGTAGTGCTACAGCTGGGCGGGTGGTAGTGGGATGTAAAAGTAAGCAGGGTAATCCAGCCTTGGGGATCAAGTAAGCAGCATTTTTCCATGGCTTTTGCATCAGTTCCTGCCTCCATGTTCCTACTTTGCTTGAGTTCCTTGCCTGACCCCCTGGAATGAAGAACTGTGATATGGAAGTGTAAGGAAAATAAGCCCTTTCCTCTCTCAAATTGCCTTTGGTCATGGTATTTTATCATAGCAATAGAAACCCTAAATAAAAGAGAAAGAGGAAGAGAAAGAACAACATCATCGTCATCATCATCTTCATCATCAAATGACAAACAATCCAGATGATAACAGAGTATATTTAATTTGTCAATACTTTCACAAAATTAGGTGCCAAATCGCCAATACATCATTTGGATCAGCACAAGACCTTGCACTGGCCTATTCGATGGGAGAATAAACTGAGGTCTTAGAGAAAGATAATTCGCATTTGTAAATGATATAGAAGTGAAGCTATTAGTCCCAAGCATTATGGCAATGAATTGTAAAATTTCGACTAATTAGATGGCTCTCGGTAAGAAGTGAAATCCTCCTATTCATGAGTGAACAAGGCAAAAGACAGATCAATTTTATTTAATAAAACAAAAGCCTTATGCAAAAAAAAAACCTATTACATTATGAGAGAACTTTTAGAAAAATAACAGAAGGAGGGCAGATATTATAGCATGAGACATTTAACAATGTAACTGCAATGCTCGTCGTCCCTGGAGCTGCAGAATACTTACCATCCTATGAGCAACATGTAACTACAGAAGCAAAGAGAGGAGATTGGAGTGCCTACCTTCCCTGATGGCTGTGAAAGGTGTACCCTCTTCCTCCTGCAGCCTGATCACCTTGAGAGCCACCAGCTTCCCGTTTACCCTGCAGGAAAACAAAGAAGAGGAAAGTGACTTTGCAGAATTATATGTCTGTTTTGGTTCCAATTATACTCCCTAATGTTTCTATTCTAATGCAATTTTGCATTAACAATGTCAGAGACTCAATTACACTGCTATAGTCATGCTGAATTCAGCAAGGCTGGTGATTCTAGATCAGCATGAATACTCATATTGTAAATACACTTGTAATAGCCTAAGATTGAACTTGATATCTCTGTGAAATAGTTTTTTTTTCCTTCCAGTGAAACTAGAGTTCAACAAAACCACCTGAAAATGAATCTCAGTCTAATTAAAACCAAATCCATGAAGAGAATATGACTCTTTGTTTCTGAAAGCTGCACCTTCAGTCTTGGATGGGGTCCTGTAATCCCATGGACAGAGACTGCCACTCACCTTAACTCCTGTCTTTTCTCTCTGAGCAACTCTCACCTGCACACACGCACGCACACACAGACGCGCACACACACACACACACGGCTATCTTTTGCATTTTTTAAATAAGCACTTCTGAATACTACATTTGATCCAATTGTGTTTTATGTTATATGATCAAAAACTTGATGAATATACTATTACAAATTACAAAAGACATAACCAAAGCAGATGGTTCTTTTAAACACTTTCTGCAAGTTTGTCAGTTCTAATCAAAAGTAAGATTACACAACAGAGATAATGTTTTATTCAGTCAATTCTGTCAACTATCAACATCAAAGAAATAACTATATATTCCAGTCCTCTTGATTGCTTTATTTTCTAGATTTACTATGCCAAGTGGAATATTTTCTTTGGTTGCATGGTTCATTAAAATGTTTTAAAGGAGATATAAAAATATAAAAAGTACAAAAATTATTTAAAGAAAAACAAGCCATCCTAACATGATCCTTCAGCTACCCAGTTCCTATGTTCTGAAGCCAGCATTTATCACTGTTCAGATATACTCTCTGGTCTAGAGACCTTCCATACTTATACATAAATTATGTAGGTATGTTTGTGTCACACAAATAAATTGACAAATATATACATATACACATGCAGACTGCAGAAAACCACATAGAAAATATTAGTATATAATACACTGTATATATACTGCATCCTATTGTATAAGTGTAGCATACTTTCCTACTAGTCTTCAACTAATAGGCATTTAGTTCATTCACAATTTTCTGCTTCTTCAATGATATAATGTATATTCTTACATACTTTGCCTATATTTTTTAAAGCATGAATAACAAATTCCTAAAAAATATAGGTACAAGGTCAAAACATATATATAACTGTAAATATTATTCTTGATGAAAATTCAAATTTTATGACAGCAGAAACCAGTTTCCCTTTCCTATGGCATCAATGGCAGTTCCTATTTCTTCCCTCTGTCGTATGTCATCAGGGTTTGTTTCTGCTAATCTTATAGTTTCTTATTATAATTTTGATTGCTACCAGAAATATTCAGAGGAACCAAAATAAAGAGCTCTTTTGATCCTGTGTCTGAGTCTGAAATATGAATGCTAATGTCTTTAAAATAAATAAAAAATAAAAATCACAACATCTAGCTAACATATGCTTGTTCAAAAAACTGCCAGCCCCAGAAGGAAACCCAGAAGCCAAAGTCCTCATCCCAATCCAACTGCCAGGTGGCTTTTCTCCATGAGCCCAGTGAAACTCCATTACCACTGGTGATGGCAATGGGATATGGACATCTTGTTACAAGGCTCCACCATTTGCAGACTTTCTCCTGGAAGCCAAGATTTGTGATGCTTTGCCTGTATCTCCTCTGGGAAGAAAGACTTTTCTCATCAGCAACCTCCTTTCCTGAATGCATCACCTTGACTTTTCTAAGTTCAACTGGCTTCAGAGCCTATTATCTTCACTTTGTGCTACAGGACTAAGGGAGCCTTTGGCAGGGATTGAAGCTGTCATAGAGTCAGAACTGACATCTGCACAGACTTCTCAGCCCAGCTGAGCTAATCAGTGTCTCCCACAGGAGGCAGTGATGGATTCCAGGAACACCTCGGAATTTTCCCCTCACTTACAGACATTTTCCTCTCACCCATAAAACACACACACACACACACCACCTTCTTCCCACATAGCTTTCTATTTCCCCTGAGAAGCACTGAATTGTGTGTACCAGGAACTGAATTCTGGATCTCTTGCTTCTAAAGGCCATGCACTTCAAACATGCCCTCAGACCATGAAACTTTTGAGTGGCCATTAGCATAACTGAAAGCAAAGAGCAAAGGCTTGAATTAACTTACTCCTGGGATGCAACTAAAGTCAGAGAGGTGGTAGAAATAAAAGTGGCCCTCATAGGCTCCTATATGTGAATGCTTAGTAACCAGTAAATGGAATTGTTTAGAAGGAATAGAAGCATCAGGAGGTGTGGCCTTGTTGGAGAAAAGTATATCACTGGGAGTGGACTTTGAGGTTTCAAAAGCCCATATTAGCCCCAGGCATGCTCGTTCATATTCTCTCTCTCTCTCTCTCTCTCTCTCTCTCTCTCTCTTTCTCTCTCTCTCTTTCTCTCTCTCTCCCTTCCCTCTCCATCTCCCCTCTCCTCCCCCTACCCCTACCCCAGTCCTATCCCCTCCTCTCCACCATGCCCTCACCATGATGATAACAATGGACTAACTCTCTGAATCTGTAAACACGGCCCCCAATTAAATGTTTTGTTTTATAAGAGACACTTTAGTCATAGTGTCTTTTCTCAGCAACAGAACAATGACTGACACAGAATCCATCTCAGCACTCTCAAAGATCAATCTATATCATTCTATGATGATAAAAACATTTCTTTTGAATTTGCCTTCTATACATAGAAAAACCAGTTTCATGGAATAATAATTCTGCAATTTCCAAGAACCAAAACTTCAAGTGTTAAGATGTCAAGATGATTGGTTGGTGGGTTTGTGGGCTGGTTGGTTTGTTGTTTTGTTTTAATTTTTATTTGGTTGAATGTGTCTGAGTGTTTTATCTGCATATAAGTCTGTTCATCAGATCTGTATGTGGTGCTGAAGAAGCCAGAGACAGACATCAAAGCTGCTGGAGCTACAGATGGTTGTGAGCCACCATGTGGGTGCTGGGAATCCGCCTCAGGTCTTCTGGAAGAGCTTGTGCTCTTCTCTTCTGAGCCTTCCCCAGAGCCCTAAGTGTTGTGGGTTTTGTGGACTATGGTCATCTCGGTTGTTGCTGAAACTGATGTTTTACATATTATATCATATGAAACTAAAATGGTCTTTAGAATTTAAGTTTCAGATATAAAGAGAATGCTTCATTCACTGGTATGTGTTCAATATCTAGAACCATCCAGACACAGAGTAAATTTTACAGAATGACTACAGATACTGTTAATTCATGGAGATTTTCCCTTTCATTGATGCCAAATAAATATAAAATAAGGTAGAAAACTTGTTATTTCTAAAATTCTCAGAGACATCAAAATGTTTATAAAGCTTTCCACATCTTCATTCATGTTTAGCTTCACCGTTTCTCAACTGGTGAGCCGTCTTTCCAGTGGCTTCACAATTTCTGTTTTCATTTTGTTTTCGGGGGGGGGGGGTTGTTTGCTTTATGTGTGTTTGTGTGTGTGTTTCAGATTAAAGGTAAAATCTCTCTGATTTTTTATGCATATAGTGACAAGTTTTCATTTCATGGAAATTTTAGAATTTGTAGAATACTTTGTTAATTAACCTTTTTACACGCAACAGATCCCACTGCAAAACACTTACAATCCTTTAATAACCTAAGCACAGACCACTTGTCAGTGTCTCTCTCCTCTCCAATGGAGTCACAAGTTTCCCACTAAGAATCATATTGATCATCAAATTGCCCTTTAACCTGAGTCACTGTGACTTTCTTCTTTCTTAATTAGATTTTCTCTGCATGTCTGGACACTCACCAATTGCTGAGTCCTTATTTTCAAAGTTCTGTAAAAATGTTAAATCACAGGCTCAACCATTCTATAAAAGGTCTTTGGGGAAAATAATATGAAATTTTCCAATGTTCTAATTTCAACACATACATATGTACAATATATGTTTAATATATATTACAACATATGGATAATATATGTTTAATGTATATAAATAAATATATTAAAACTTTATTAACTATTATCTGAAGTACTCAAAGTTCTAAGCTAATAACCATGCATGTATTTTTACTTCTCAAGGGTATCAAATTAAGATGCTATCTTTTAAAAATAATGTCATATTTTCTAATTATCTTGAAGTTTTTTTAACTACTTTAGGAGGGCTTAAAACATGTAATTCAAACCTTGATTTAAATAAACACAAAATTCAAATTGAATCAATAAATCAGAGCTGTTTACAGAAAAACATTGAGGATTCTCCTTTAACAAGTCATATTAATTAAATCACAAGCTAATGAATAAAAGGCAATCAAGGTTTGATTGCCAGTGGAAACATTAATTCAGATAAATAACACGGTGAGAAAAATATGCCTTAACTTGTGTTAATATTGCCATAGAACATTCTTTTGGAGCTATTGCCAGCTTTGCCTCCAGTGGGTATAAGTCACACATGGAGCCATTTTCCTCCAGACACAATTGCTATTAACAGCATGGCCTCACTGTGAGATACAATGTATCTCAAGGATCAGCACTCTAGTCTGGTCTGCATGTCACAAGGAATGAGTTGCCAAATGCTACAAAGGCAAAGCTGCATAAATACGCATTGGGGAAACTATATTCAACAGAGACCTGGGTGGTCATGAAAAGCCATTCTGAAGTAGGACCTAGCTTCTAACAGATTCTGACCATAGATCCAAACCTCTAACCTCAGAAATTGCGTCCACAATTCCATGTGCCCCCACTACACTTGTAGATACAAAATTCTCTTAATTCTCTTGTGACAGTGAAACCTAAAATGTAGAATTTTTAAACAGAACGCAACCTCCTACTGCTTTTTCTATTTTATCCATCCATTCATTCCTTTATTTTTCTGTATGACCTCTAAAGAGAAACTC